TTCGATTCTTCTTCTTATTCCCACCCACTCTTCCCTTCCTTACGACGTCTTTCTTTCTTCTTCTTACCCCCCTCCCCCCCCCCCTCCCGTGTTTATAAACAAAAGCAGAGCCACTGAGACGTCTCAATTTAACACCGTGAAAACAAACATTGATTCTTCACGGCAGAAAGTGATATAATTGACGGAATTGCAAAACTAGCCGTCTAAAACGACCTCACTCCTCATATTCTCTCTCTCCCCTCTGCAACTCAACAGAAGTTCTTGTGCTTTAGATAGGATGTGCTGCAGTTTTTTTCCGCGCAGATATTTTGGGCCAACAATCATCAACTATATCATACGCAATCATTCAGTTTATCTCTCGCAAGTTGCAACTTCTCCAATTAAATCATTGGCTCAGTAGCCGAAAATCAATATAAATTGCTTCATCAGCAAATAAACAGATAAAAACCTTTTAGGAAAAAGGGATATGGATAAGGAAGAAAAAATATGTGCACTGCTAAGCACAAGGCAGCCCTAATTTGAGAGAAGGGACATGAAATGGATGCATTAATTTTCTTTTTTTTTTCTTTATGAAAATAGTATATAGTAATAAGTATTTTTAGTAGATACAATATAAAAAATGACGTGGAATATGATGTGTCATCCACGTCAAGCAAGTGAGATACACACATGGTCAGAGGGGTTTAAGGTATAGATTTTGAACAAGTTAAAGTGTCTGGATGAAAAAAAGTGAAGTAGGAGTACCGGCATGACAAAGTGGCACAAGTATAGGTGCGATTTAGGCCATTCTGCCGCACAAAAAATATAAAAAATAGAAAAGAACAAAAATAGAAAACAGATAGAAGTAGAGTAGTCACTATCATTGGACTAGAAAACAAGTGAAAGCCATCCAATTCAATGCTTTGTTCGCTAACTGAGAGGTATCATTCACTAACCTTGGGTCCCACAACATCCAATAGAGCGTGGTTAAAACGCGTGTTTCACGAGCGTGGTCATTAATTTATATTTCCAAATCATCACTTCTTTCAATCTTTTTCCTATTACTCCTATCTTTTCACTTTCTTCATTTTCCTGACAAAAACAGAACTACATAATACAAGTGAAGAACAGAGACAAAAACAGAAAGTACAGTACTTGGTAAACTCACTGTATTTTTCTTCTTAGGCATTTTCTTGGAGTTTTTCTTATTTGGAAAAGATAGCAGCTGTTGGTTTTCATTAGAAGCTTTATTTTCACTTAACTAAGATCTTTCTGGTCAGTTCAAAACTGTTTCTTTTATACTGTAATGGTTATGTTTGTCCCTCTGTTTTCATGTATTTGTTGTACTAGACTACTAGTGGTTGTTGAAAACATTCATTTCTCAAGTGGTTTGGTTTCTTTTTCTTTTATTTTTTCTTTTTTGGTTCAATGGGTGTTGGTTTCTTTAGTATTAAGCTTCAGTCCTTGAGTATATTTTTAGTTAGTTTTTAAGTGTAAGTTAGCGTTTGAGATTATGCTGAGTTCAATAAGGTCACGGGTTGAAACAGTGAGAGCAACGCTTGTATTTGGATAGATTGTCTATATCCTATCCTTTGAGTGCGGTCTTTATCCGGACCCTGTATGAAATACGGCATGACTTGTGCACGAACTGCCTTTTTTTTTTCCTGTTGTTTTCTGTTTTTTTTTTAGATAGTAAAATGAGACTTGTTAGATCTATGTAACTTCAGTAGTAACTGATTTTGAGAAAATTTATCACCTGAAGTTTCTTTATTTTTTGTTTTTCTTTTAACTTTAGCATAAAGTTAAAGTACAAGTACACAAAGTAATTAACTTCAAGTGGAGGTTTAGACAAGATTAAAATAAGGTCTTATTTTGCCTAAATATTAGCAGAGCTTAAACTTGTTACGTTATGTAGAGGCCTATTTTTATGAGATCTCCATATTTTTTTCAACATAGCTGCGATTTTGCTTTTCTTGAGCCGAGAGTTTTCTCACAAGATAGGGGTAATGTCTGCGTACACACTATCCTCTCCAAGCCCCACATATGATATTACACTGGATTTGTTGTTGTTGTTTGTTATTTTAATGAAATCTATGTATAGAAACTTAAAAAAAAAAAAAGCAAAATAGATTTCCCATTATTTGTTAATTAATGTTACATAAAGTCATTAGTGATTACTATGTTAAGTGGTAACTTTTCAAAATTTTCAAAATGTGGTTCTATTGTCATTTTCTTAGGCATATATGATGTTGTCCAAAAGTGTTAATGCTATACAGTATAAGCACAAGAGTAGAAATGAAGTAAAAGAAAAAAGGAATTGAATTTAGATATGGCTTACATAATGACATTTGTTTTCTTATGTTGAAACTTTTTTTTTTTTTCCATTTTTTCTCTTTTTAGTATTTTGGCTTTTTGCTCTTGTATTGTAGGTTTGGTTGGTGGTAGTGGAGGTAGTTTGTATCTAGAGTTCCTTTGAAGGGATTGTGTGTTTACTTAGTTTGGTTTCTAATTTAGATGTAGATTGAAATTTGCATATTTAATAAAATTTTCTTTCTAAACCAAGGAATCTTCTGAACTATTTCAGGTGTTGCTGAAAGGAAATTAATATGCAGACACCAAAATCAAGGTATTTCTAATTTAATAAGAATAGTCAGTACTCTATGGGTATCCCAGTCTGCATTTATTGGTCTTCTTATTTACATGTAACTCAAAATCCTTCATCATGTTTCATTTTTTTCTCCCTTTTTTTCCTTGAGCTTTGAAAGCATTGATTGTTGATTTTATTTAGTATAGGAAGATCGATTTATCGATTAAAAGAGTGAATAAAATAAAGTACATATTTATAATACCTCATGCTAGTGAGCCCGGTGCACAAAGCATCGGTCGTTTAGGTCCCGGGGAAAGGCCGCACCGCACCCCAAGGGAGTGTAATGTGAAGTTAGTTACAGATACGCCTGCAGCAGTGTCTGCATACAGGCTTGACGAAGTTACCAAGTACCTAGCAGTAATGTAAAGTTTTATAGCTCAAATCAAACAAGTTTTATACCTCTAAACAAGGTTATCTTGTGTAGAGGTTTTGAAAGCAATAATCTGATGGTGATTCATATCTTTCAAGTACTTGATTTTTGTCTGAACTTAGTTGTTTGACTATCTCATTACCTCTGTCCTTGTTTTTGGCTGAAGGAATATTTCTGTAGAGGTGCCACAAAGGAAATCTCCTGCACCAAAAACAGCGCGAAAGCTCAAAACTCCAGGGTCGGATGCTGATTCATTGTCAGCTCCAAATCCAGCTATCAGTACACCGAAAGATAGGGGTGTCAAAGTTGTTGGCCGCCGTTCTCCACGAAATCCAGTGGTGGAGGTAAAGAAGAAACTTACATACTTAGGCTTACAAAAATTTCTGCAACTAGAACAAGTCTATCAAATATTCGCAATTAAGTTAAAACTTTCCTCCTTCTAAACTTTCAGCCTATCATACTTATAAATTGGCAGTTACCGCGTTCATTTATGCTTTAACTCATATGCAAAAAAAAGGCAGCCCGGTGCACAAAGCATCCAAGGGCAGCACCCGAGGGGGTCTGATATAGGCAGCCTACCCCGATACCACCCTGATGCTTCAAAATAACCATTTAAAATAACTTTGTTCTTTGTTTTGGTTTCCTGTCTGACTCTATCTGGTTCAAGGCACTGGCAGTATTTGATGGAAATATTCTACGTATACAACTAAAATCCCAAATTTACAAAATTATCTTTCTATTCTTAATACTGGTGTTTCTGTTGCTCTCTTCCCACTTAGAGGTCCTCAAATGTTACTAATTTGCTCATTTTTCATACTTTGTATAAACAGAAAAAGCATCCAACCAAAGTTACTGACTTGGAAACCGAGCTTGCTCAACTCCAAGATGAGTTGAAGAAAGTAAAGGATCAACTCACTTCATCCGATTCATTAAAAAGGAGGGCTCAAATAGAGGCAGAGGAAGCTAAGAAGCAGCTCACTGCAATGTCAGAGAAGCTCGAGGAGTCTGAGAAACAACTAGTTGAGCTCTCAGATTCTGAGGATGCTCGAATCCTGGAACTACGCAAGATCTCACAAGATCGAGATCGAGCATGGCAATCTGAACTCGAGGCTGTCCAGAAGCAGCACGAATATGACTCTGCTGCTCTTGCTTCTGCCATGAATGAAATCCAGAAGCTTAAAAGCCAACTGGACAGATTGGCTGATTCTGAAGCCAATCAAGCGCGCCATGCTGAATCAGCTTATGCTGAGATTCAAAGCTTAAGGGTAGAACTTATGGAAACCCTTACATTGGTCGAGAAATTGAGAAACCAGATAAACGATAGCAAAGAATCTGAGGCTTGTGCGCTTGAAGAAATGAGTAAAGCTCAGATGCAGCTAGAAGTAGCAAAGATGACCGAGGATACTCTACGTTTGGAAGGTCTAAAAGCAATGGAGGCTTGCAAATCCTTGTCGTTGGAGTTAGAACAGTCAAATAATCAAGTAGCTAAATTGGAGGAACTTGTCAGTGAGCTCCAAACCGCTCAAGGTACCGTAGATGGAGTTAATGAGGAAGCCGAGGAACTCAAAACTGAGGTCAGTAATCTAAAACTTGAAGTAAGCCAACTGAGAACTGCATTGGAGGTTTCGGAAAGAAGATATCAGGAAGAATATACCCAAAGCACTTTGCAGATTAGAAGTGCTTATGAGTTAGTTGAACGATCAAAGTCTGAATCAGCTCAGAGAGAGGCTGAATGGGAGGCGAAGTTAAAGGTTGCAAAAGCGGAGTTGGAAGAGTTAAAGGAGAAACTGATGAACAAAGAAGCTAAGCTACAAAACATTTCGAACGAAAATAAGGAGCTAAATATGCAAGTTGAGAAAATACAGTCTGCTGATAGAGAATCTGAATTAGTAGCTGTACTGAAGGAATCAGAGTCAACTTTGGGAGATTTGCGGGCGAGTTTATTGGACAAAGAGACAGAGTTGCAGAATATTAAGGAGGAAAATGAGATGCTGAAGTCAGAAATCAAGAAGAGGGAAACTGAGGGTAGAAAAGTGAATGATGAAACTCTTGCTGTGGCAGAAGCCGCGAAAGGTGTAGAAAGAGAGACTCTGATGAAGTTAGGACATTTGACAGATGAAGCAGATGAAAGTAGCCGAAAGGCAGCACGTGTTACCGAGCAGTTGGATGCAGCACAGAATGCTAACTCCGAGATGGAAGCCGAGTTGAGGAGGTTAAAAGTGCAAGCTGATCAGTGGAGGAAAGCTGCTGAGGCAGCTGCAGCTATGCTTTCAACCGGCAACAACGGCAAATATGTAGAGAGAACAGGTTCTTTAGATTACCACACTATTAGTGGGAAGCTAGATTCTCCATTATCTGAAGATACGGATGATGAATCGCCAAAGAAGAAGAATGGCAACATGTTGAAAAAGATTGGTGTTTTATTGAAAAAAGGCCAGAAATAGAAGCATAAATGCAGCCTCTTGCAGAAATGCAGGGTAAGACTGCATACAATTGATCCTTGTGGTCCGAGCCTTCCCCGGACCCCGCGCATAGCGGGAGCTTAGTGTACCGGGCTGCCCTTTGCCAAAAGTAGAAGCATATCTTGCAGGTTGCTATTAAATAATCACTGTTTGATTTCTCTATTACTCATATGTAGTTTATGTTTCCAGTTTTTGTTAATAAATGTACTAGTATATACTTTATGTACTCTCTCTTAGAGGATTTTTGTATAGCTATTTGGAAATTAAGAACACTCTATGATCTCACCTGCCAATACCTGTATGTTTCCTAAGAAGGTAGTAAAAGTGCTGTAATTCTTTTGGTTACAATTTTCTGTTTATATGGTAGTTGGTGTACTATGGTATTTTCAACAAATTGTGCTAATGTAATGAAGCAAAGCTAGATAATTAAGCGTAGAATTTGATCTATTCATCGCTTCGAAACGTGCACTAAGCTCCCGCTATGTGCGGGTCCGGGAAGGGCCGGACCACGAGGGTATATTATACGCAGTGTTACCTGTATTTTTGCAAGAGACTATTTTCACGGCTCGAACCTGTGACCTCATAGTTAGTTGGCACTCGATCAACCATTAAGATTTATTGGTCTCGTATTTTATTAGAGATGATGTCATGTGTAAAACCTAGATTGCGGTACTCAATCACCACTCTTTTATAAATTTGTTACGACAGATGTGCATAATGATAGACACATAATCAATTATATAAAGCATAGAGAAGAATAAAAATGGACACAACATTTACAAGGTGTGACGCATAATTATTGGACACAAGTCATACAAAACTCTAATGAACTTATAATTTGATTTTATTAATGGATATTAACATTTCATGTAAAGATGAATTATTATTCATCTAAACAACATATCACATGCACAATATGCTAGCTTATAAATGATATCTTTCGGAAAGTCGAGTGGCTAACACCTGGATGGTTGTTCTCCGTTGTATCGTATTGTATTGTTATCCCAAAACAATGTTTGTTTTGATTGTTCCATTAAAATTAGTTATATATTGTATTGTTCAATCCATTATTCCGGAACAATGAACAATCCCCTTTTTTTAAACAACCGATTTGGTGTGGTGGATTGTTTCCTATTTTTCTTTCCAATTATGCCCTAACTTATTACTCCACGATTCTATTTTACCATTTACATTTTTTTTTCTATTTTAACTCCAAATCTATAACCTACTTTGTTTTTTTCCAGAACTTCTGCCCCCAACGTTAAAGGTGTTTTGCCGCCTTCTGTTTTATTTTTTCTCCTATTTTGCTTTTAACTCAATTCTAATTAGCTGTGCTCCTTGTTTTGCCTTCTTCTGTCTCGCTCCTTTGTTTAGCTTTCTTAAGGTGGTTTGCCTTCTTCTATTTTATTTTTTAAAATTATTTTTATGCATAATTTTTGATAAATTTAATATTTAAACAATTGAGAGATTTTAGTAAACTTATCAATTACAATACAGTACAGTACGACACAATCAAACCAAACAGCAAGATATTATTTAACAATAACAAACAATACAATCTATCCAAATATTGTATTCATAAAACGATACGATACAATACATTATAAAACGATGGGGAACAATGATCCAAACGGGACAAGAGGAACTGACAAAATCGAGATAGTAAAACCATTGGATAGAGTTGCAAAAGTCTGAAGTTTGTCAATTCTTTGCTAAACTTTAAACAGCTTTTAAAAGAATTGGCTAAATCTTAAATAGAGTATCTAAAAGCGGTTACCTGGTGCTATTTCTACAATTATAGAAGCCAGATGCTTTGGGCCTGAGGAAACGCCCCAAAGCATTCTTAGAGCCCAACTTTTCTCAAGCAGCCCAAACCCAGAGCTAATTTATGGATAGGTTAGGGTTTTATTAGGCTGTTATGTGCGGCTTCTCCTCATCAGCAACATAACAAACAACAATCTGAAGTTGGAGTCCTCTGTCACTCAGCAAACATGGGGTAAACTTTCTTCTTCTTTTTCCTCCATGTTTTTCCATTTCGATTTACGTATTGCAATTATAACCACTATATATTACTTCCATTTGAACTTTCTCATTTGCTATAATTTGCTAGTGGCGCTATTATGGAAGTAAACAGTAAAGGGAGTTTCTTTTTGTTTGTTATGGGATTCTGATGCTATATGCTCGATTTGAACTCTTATTTGTTTTTAATTTCATCGAATGAATTATCTAAGGGAATGATTTCATGTGGAATGTTCTATTTTCCCTGCAAGCTGATGGTAATGGTAGATATGGTGAGTGTTTAAGTACGTTAGATCTGTGCAGGGACCAAAAATTGGCAGATTTAATTTGGCATCAAATGTTGGAATAAGCTAGGGGGCAGGATCATGATATAGTCACACCAGGGAAATCCCAGTAATGTTACAACTGATAAAAAAATTAACAAGTAATCTTGAGATTGAAATAAAAAAAATGAGTGTGGAGATTGTTACTTAATAGATATTTTCTCATTCAACCATATCTTTCATAGGCTAAGAGTACCTATTCATATGGTGCAAAAGCCACCACAATAGTCAGAAGACTTGAATAGACATTTTAACAGATGTACGTATAATCTACATTGCTCATTGAATGCATATATAATGGGGAGTGTTGTGAATACATTATTCTAATGGATGTCAATTGAATATTCCGATACTTTTTTTTCCATGAACCATGTAACCTATACATTATGTATTAAATTGGTACACTTAATTCTTATGACTCTTGGGATGGATTTTAGACATATGGCTCTTTTAGAAATAAGAGCATTGGTTACTAAAATGAAAGATATACCCCCTCAAATAAATTTGGTATTTTTTAAGATAAACTTGATATTTTTTAATAAGTAGGGAATGTAGAAGGGTATGTAGGTAATTTAACTTTTTAGATTAGAGTTCCTACCTTTATAATGATGTAGATATAGATGTATATACTAGTTTTTTGGCACATGCATTGCACGTGGATTCCCAATCATTTAGTACACATGATTTTGGAAAACTCATTTATGATAGAATGAAAAAGTTAGGAACACTAAATTAAAAGTTAAATTGCCTAAATACTCTTCTTATTAACTTGAATACCCTACTTGGTAAATTTAAATACCAAGTTTATGTATAACAAAGTCAAGTTTATTTGAAAATTCTTTTTGAGAAAGTTTATATGAAAGGTTTTAATCCTTCAATTTTACTAAAAGAAGATTGTCAAAATTTGCAACTTTTACCCGCCAAATGATACTATTGGCTAAAGAAAAAATATCCAAAAGTATTACATCAAAAGCAAATATAAGAGAAATGAGACTTTAAATATAATATTCTATGTAAGATTATAAAATTAGAATGACACAGAGAAGATTAGCACGGCCCTTGGGCAAGGATGACGCGCACAATTTGAGAAATGGTCCATATTTCTTTTTGTTACCATTCTCAATAAAATTGAAGATATCACAGCAAAGAAAACAGGGGTTTTGTGTTAAATTTACGAAAAGGTCACTATTTTTGTCAAGCTGGCAAGAAATAGTAAAGGTATTTAAGGAAATAAAAAATGGAAAGAGTGCTACCTTAGTGCACTCATGTAGTAGGTTAGCAAGACCCTATATATATGTATAGGGTTTCGCTAACCTACTACACGACTATAGTAGGTTAGTATTGTCCCCATTTTTTTGTTTTCCTTAGACATCTGTATGAGTACATCACCAAGACAGTAAAATGTTGGACTTTTTCATCTAAAACCCCAAGTCTGGTCCTACTTTCTCTTTCTTCTCCTTTGTGTTCTTGCAAATTCATTAAATACAACTATACAATCTCCATTGTTTTTCATGAGTTAGAGCTCAAAAACAATAAAGCTGACTCCTTTATAGTCCAGCAAAGTGGGGCTTCATAGACTTGTAATTTGTATTGGTGGAAGAAAGAATTGGATATAAGTTTGTTTGGGAAAGTATGATTTAACTGGAAAAAGAAATGGAAAATAGTAAATCATTGGTAGATATGAAATAATGGAGAGGGGGTGCCAATTGTTGTTTTGGAAAGAAGGTATTTGTCGAAATTGAGAGGGGTAACCGCCGAACAAGAGGAAAGATTAGAAAATTCAAATTGTAATGGCTAACCAACAAAGAGGAGTTGTCGACGGTGAATACGAGTTCGCCCAAAAATGAACGTAACATTTTGATTGCACAGCAAATGAGGAATGTGGAGAGACCCAAATGATGGAAAAGAGGGCGTGTTTATCAAATTTGGTTGACTGGACAAAACTATCTCATCAATTACCATTAAAGAGATGGTATGGGCTTTACAAGGGTAATAAAGGAAAATAAGAAGTGGCTACATTGCTAGCTTATCACTCATTTATATATATATTCTTAACCCTACGAAGAACACTCCTCCAGTGAGAATACTAATCTTTTGTATATCTCTTGCTGTGTTTACTACTCTCTCCATTTTAATTTGTGTGCCATAGTATGTTAGGAAATTAGTTTAAGTAAAAATGACTTTGACATGCTTGGTCTTAAACATGCCATTACATTTATATAGCTATAAAAGCTTGTTATTAAGGATAAGGTTGAAAGTTCAAGTTAAATTGTTTCCAAATATAGAATGCTACCATTCTTTTTTGAACGAACTAAAAAGGAAAAACTACCACAAATTCTGACGGAGGGAGTATTATCATAAACACGTTATTAGCACAGGTTTTCCTTCCACTCATCTTTCCTATATCTCTTGTCTGCTTCCTTAAAGAACCTGCCGATTCTTAGTCAATTACCACATGAATTCACAACAATTTTTCGAATCATTGTTGACTTGGGATGTACCACAAGAAGTGTGGAGATTGTTATTAGATAATCTCATTCAAGTGTTTATTTCATAGTGCTAAGATAGACTATTTTAGGATGCAAACTTCACCCCAAAAAATCAGAAGAGTTGAGGAGACAATATATACATTAAGCCTTATATGGTTCATAGAATAATAGTCTTACGTTATCTATTAAATTGTCTACTTAAATCTTGTGACCCTTGAGTTAGGTTTTGCACTCTATAAAGTATTCTTAGCTCGATGTTGCATACAACTTGAGTGAGACTAACTAATAATAATCTCTACATCTTTAACAGTTAAAAAAATAAACTTTACATCGTTCTTTCTTTATCTCTGTTTCTATTTACTTTATCTTACACGATTTCTGTTATTAGTTGACACTAGGCAGTGTGTCTATAAGAAAATTGTTAATAAAAATCCCTCATTAATTCACTCGCCTCAACCCAAATGGACCTAAAGATTCTTTGCGTTGGGAGAGAAGATCATTGCCCATTAAGATTATATTTGTGTTGCATTGGACGATTAGTTCATTTTAGATCCTGTGATTTGTCGTCCCATAGCATCAAGTAATATCTGCAGTATTCTGTATACTTGAGAAAGTACTAGTTGAAGGGGGAAGGCATAGAGCAATATTGCTCGTTTAAGCTATATATGTCATTATGGGTTAAAATTTGCAGGAAGACACGTGGTATGGGAGCTGGACGCAAACTGAAGTCCCACCGCAGGAGGCAAAGGTGGGCTGATAAGTCCTACAAGAAGTCCCATCTTGGGAATGAATGGAAGAAGCCATTTGCTGGGTCATCCCATGCCAAAGGCATTGTGCTTGAGAAGATGTAGGTCCACTTTTCTCTGTTTATAGTTACACTGTCCTCCAAGCCTTGCAGACTTATAGAACTTGGCTCTAACCATCAAACTCGCTGGAATGTGTTGTGCAGAGGTATTGAAGCTAAGCAGCCGAACTCTGCTATTCGTAAATGTGCTAGGGTTCAACTCATCAAAAACGGGAAGAAGATTGCTGCTTTCGTCCCCAACGATGGTTGTTTGAACTACATTGAAGAAAATGTGCGTCCTTTTGCTTTCTCGTATTCTCTCCTTCACGTATCTCTCAATTTTTTCTTTTCAGCGTTCTTGTTGCTAACCTTGCTACATTGCAGGATGAGGTGTTGATCGCTGGGTTTGGTCGTAAAGGGCACGCCGTGGGAGATATTCCTGGTGTTAGGTTCAAGGTTGTGAAGGTTTCTGGTGTCTCTCTGCTGGCTCTCTTTAAGGAGAAGAAAGAGAAACCCAGATCTTAAGTTGCCCTCTTTTGCCAAAACACTTTTAAGCATGTAACAGGCTATTAGCTATCTTGAGTTTGTGAACAAACAGTTTTTGATCTAGGTATTGTATTGGAAATTTTGCTTCTTTTCTGAAATTCATATTTTGTTACCCTTAAGTATGTTGTAATTACCAATCATTCCCCCCCCCGCCCCCACCACCACCACCACCACCACCACCAACAAAAAAAGAAAGGAAAAAACCAGAAACAAGCTTTGCTCAGTGTGATCACAATCGGGTCAGATTACATCTTTCAGATTTGATGGAGGAGCCATTAATTACTCTTTTTCAGATTCATCAAGCACACATGAGTTTGAGAGAATGTTTTAGGAATGTTTAGTGTTAGTATTAAGAAGTTGGTATATTAGAAGTGTTATAGATATGTCTCTCATTGGACATTATCTCTTGTTTTGTAGTCGGATTGTGTTCCTCCCATCTACATTTGACATGAAATAAAAGTTATGTTGAAGGGGATAATGGAATAAATTGTATGAGAACTCACTGAAATACTCCATATGCCTATGCTAATTGCAATTCACCAGGCTGATGACTGTAACCTTGCTTTGCACAAATTTGGGCTTTACATTATATGGTAAGAATTTTTGATATTCCATTTAAAAAATTTAAATTAAAAGTTATACATGTATAATGATTAGTGAAGCTAATACTTAATTGTTACAGTGCATCTTTGCAAAGCAATTCATATATTATTAGTTACCGCATAACAATTTGTATATTATTATTAACAAAATAATATAATGTAATTTATGCGGGAGTTGTTTTTCGAGTGAGTGGTGGCTTTTCATAAACACTGTCCTAAGACTAATTACTTTTCTGGAAATGTATTTCCAAATACAAGCGGGGAGTTAATGCCAATATCTGATTAAGCTAACAAAATATTGGACTTCACATTTTTTCCAAGAATGAAAGTTTATATCAGTCAGCAGATTAATCGGATCTTTAATTAATTACTTAATTAAAGTGTTGATGAATAATGATTCTCATATTTTAACCAGTAATACAATCTCTTTGTAATAAGATATTCTAATATCAAACAGAAACAAAAATCATATGCTAAATTCTTTATTTTAACTTTTATTTAAACCCCTTCTCTCACTGTCAGTCTGTCATTCTTTTTGTAGTGTAAGCATCAAAATTCTCCGTCATCGTCTCCGATTCTACCAGCTCAACTCTCTGTATATCAAATCCTTTTCCGGTTTTGCACTCTTTGGGAATTTGTCGTAAGTTTTCAAGCTCTCTTCATCACCCTGCAATTTGTGTTTTTTTTTATTTATATATATATATATATATTCAGTTTGTACATTGTTGCTTTGTTCTCAAAAGAAGTTTTAGTTTAGTTGTTCATTTTACGTTCAGAATTGAGGGCCCAAGAAAAATGGTTGAGAGATATGTAACAGAATGTTGCTTAATTATTGAGTCGTAACAACCTTTGGTTTCTCGAATATTAGATGATTCTGTTGAAAGTGAATTGATTTGTGTAAAGTCCAAACATTTGTGGAATGCATATCAGACTATGATTTCTTTTTTCAATTTTCAATTTTCAAACCACATTGATTCTGGATAGAACTATGTTACTGTACATATTTTTTTCCCTCAACATTTTGGTAGAAAGCTGGAATATTGGAGACATTTCTGCTGAATTTTTAAGATTATGAGAGAATATCTTGTTTCATTATCCAAAGGGTAAGAAACCCTTAGAAAAAAATAAGTTAATGAGATACCCTTTATTGCCTGCACTAGATTTTTTTGGGGGATTCTCATTTGATTACTTAGTATGGAATTTAGCCTTTTGTTGAATTTCTATCGAACTAATGCTGCAGTTCTCTTCAGTTTCAAGAGGGCAGGTCTTGCCGCAAATTCAGTAATTGGAAGAAGCTTTATTTATCATAGGCTAGTGGTTTTACTGTTAGCTGAGGACATGCATCAGCTGAAGCAGTTGGACCCTCTTTTGAAGAGGCCAAGAGGGTTATAGTTTCTTCAGAACAGGATTTTGATTGTGCTCAATTACAGGCTAAAACATCTGACTATTCCTCCTTGCTCTCATGAGGGGTATATCATTCCTTCAACATGCCTGAAGCTCCTAAGAAATCATTCTTCACCCTCTCACTTGTCCCCTTCCTTCTAGCATATACACTCATCCACTTCGACCCACCAATAGAGTCTGAGCCATTAATTTCTAGTAGCTCCGATGAGTGTCAACATGACCAGAAGCAACAATCTGATAGCAGAAATTATATTGTTCGATTCTATCATTATAAGGAAGCTGAGGATCACTGGAATTATCTTCAAAACAACTTGAAATTTAAGGGTTGGCAATGGATTGAGCGGAAAAATCCGGCTGCGAGATTTCCTACTGACTTTGGATTGGTGGAAATCGACGATTCAGTGAAGGAACTCTTGCTAGAAAAGTTCAGAAAAATGAATCTTGTAAAAGACGTTTCGTTGGATTTGAGCTATCAAAGGATAGTTCTTGAAGAGAAGAGTGAGAAGAATGGGGCTTTTGCCAATGGGAAGAAGAGGCCAGGAAAGATTTTTACTGCTATGTCCTTCAGTGAAGGTCAAAACTATGCGGTGGCCAAGACTAGTAAAATGAGAATTAGCTGGAGCAGACATCTATTGATGCAGGCAAGACCACTGATTATTTGTGTTTTATTTTGTATGCATTTACTGATAATTTACATCATTGGAATGTATGCAACTCTTCCCTTTGCATTCATGACATATGTTAGTGGCTACTTTATTGCGTGGTTATATGTTCAAAGGAAATTAATCTCTTTCAGTTCCCTTTTATCTTTGTCCTTTTCCTATTTTGGTCTAATCAAGTGTCTGTTATTCCATTAATTTGTCATGATGCTGAGACTCCATAGTGAGAAAAATATGAGAAAGATTAGAGAATGCTTGAAGACTAATATCTTAAAACTGATTCCTTATATGGGCACACTTGACAATGTAATAATATCTATACCTGTGTTTTCCCGAAGTGGGACACTTATAATAAGTATAAGTATTTACATTTAGCTATTTTCCCCTAACTATCTAACAGTCCCTTTCTGGCGCTCGTTACATATGTGACTAATTCAGGGACTATTGAAGAACTCGTGGATATATCTACAGTCTAAGCATTCGACTTCACGAACTTTGTGAAAATGACTTCTGAGATTATCTTCTCTGTGACGAAGTTATAATTGATAATATTCTTTTATATCTTTCATGACACACTGAATTCACCGCAATATGAAGGAAAACTTGATTATTACACAGAAGTTGCACCTTACTGATCACTATAAATTTTAATCTTTGTGCGACTCTGTGATCCATATAATTTCACAAGTTGTCTCTGCTATGCCCCAATATTCTCTTTTGCACTGGATCTATGACCATGTTTTGTTTTTTTAGTCCTTCAAGACAATAAAGTACCTCTAACGAGAATGGGTTATATATCCTTAGATCACTAAGTGGCTCACTTTAACTTGGTTGGAGCGTAACATTCAGATCGGAGAGTGTCAAGTGGTTTATAATTTGACATTCTTATTTCCTCAAGGTTGTCAGGGCATACTTCCTTTTTGAAAAGCATGGTCTGCATTCTTTGAATGTCTATGTCTCATGTTGTTGCTCTATTTTCTATTTCTTTTTTGGATTGAACATATTGCTGTTGTTCGCTGTATTTTTCTTGATATATTTGTTGTTGTCTGTCCTGTATGATTATTTTGCAGAAATCTCGAGTCACATCCCTCTTTGGGGCACATGAGCTTTGGTCAAAAGGGCATACTGGTGCTAAGGTCAAAATGGCAATTTTTGATACAGGCATCCGTGCAGATCACCCGCATTTTCGTAATATCAAGGTATCTTGTCTTTTTCTCTTTTTAAAATATATTTTCTGTATCAAAGAAATGCTTTAGTTGAATCCAATGTGGTTTGAGGCTTGATATTTACATTTACATATATGTCAATGTATATATCGCGGTACCATCTTTACATCATTAATAACAGACAGTGGGCTTGCTACCTGATTAAATTTCAGGAACGCACAAATTGGACCAACGAAGATACATTGAATGACAATGTTGGACACGGGACATTTGTAGCTGGTGTTATTGCTGGTCAGGATGAAGAATGCCTCGGTTTTGCTCCAGATGCGGAAATCTATGCTTTCCGTGTATTTACAGATGCACAGGTAATGGATTGTTTTGAACAAGTATTCCAATTCCTTTTCTTTGGGGCGTGACGGGGTTTTATTTTCTTAAACTGTTTAAGTAAGCCGAGACTTGAAGATCTTCAACAATCTGATGTCTTGGATTATTGCCTCTAATTTATTGTACTGATGTTTTATACAAGTTTGCTTCTTGCTGAGTGCTAATGATGATTCCTATGATCAAATGGTCCTTTCGTTGTTAATGGCAGCAAAGCAAATACTTGATGTGTTAAGATCCTTCCCCCGTTCCCTTCCAGTTTTCTGCTAGTAGAGTGTGCCACATCCACCTCATGAGTGGTGAACCTAATATAGCAAATTCTTGCAGTCATAGTTTTTAATGAAAAGTCTATCTTCAAACCCAACAACCATGATGGCACTGGAATGGAAGAAAAAATACTTTAGACTGCCTAGTCTCTGTAAATGACAAGTTCTGCTTCTGCACCTTATTTTGTGCTAGCTTTAACTTCTCATCATTCAGCTATAATATCTTGGAAGAATATGCACCTAAATACACAGTTTTCTCATACCCTTTCCAGCGGCCAAGCCCGCTGATTGGAGTTAGTGGTGGAGTTCATGTTACACGCTATGTTATTGAACATATAATATTTCTTCTGCCATCTTATTATGACTTTAATGATCAGATTGCAACTATTTTTCAGGGGATTGGGCCATTGGGGAGGGAGGACATTGTTTACTTTTATGTTTTAGAAAAGCCTGGAACTTGTCTGCGAATTATGTGCAATCTATAATTCCTATTTTGTTTTTAAGGAAGCACATACTTAATATTACCCACTGCTGGGGAGGTATAAGCGGTTTGAAATATTATAACAACTGTATGCACTGTTTGAGAACCTATAACAAGTAACAGTGTTGCTAATAATAAATTGGAAAACAAAATTACTTGCATAAGGCACACACTAAATACTATTTTCCTTTCATGGAGATTTGAGGCCAAGACCTTATCGTTCTTGGACCTTAGTTTTTCCAATTAAGCTACCTATCATTGCCTCTATGCAATCTATTGATTTCAGTAGCTACAAACCATATCCGCAATTAAGGACAATCAAGATGATATGGAGTACTTGCCCCCAGGGCTTTGATCATGGGTTCGAATCCTTGATGTTGGGGTTTGAAAGAGAGTCTATTCACACAAAAAGGAACAATCTTGTAGCACCCAAGGGTATAGGGTAGCGTTCAATGAAGTGAGTTAAAATCTTGGAGACTAGGGTTCAAATCCCAGCCTAGATAAAAAATGTTAGGTGATATCTACCCATTTGCCTAAGCCTTGGTGGACTGAGTTACCTGGTACATGTGCTAGTGGGAGGTTGCAGGTACCCCTGGAAGAGTCGAGATGTGACAAGTTTTGCTTTGAGACCATCATTATCAACAACAACAACAACAACAACAGTATACCAGTGTAATCCCATAAGTAGGGTCTGGGGAGGGTAGTATGTACGTAGACCTTACCCCTACCTTCAAGAAGGTAGAGAGGTTGTTTCCGGAAGACTCTTGGCTTAGGAAAGATAAAAGGAAGAGCAGCAACAAGCACACCAATTAGAAAACCGAAGCAAAAAATACAAAGATACAAAACTAAAACTGAGTATTGCAATAGAAGGCCGGAACGAAAGCAACGACAAGTAGTCACAGAAGTCAAGGAATACGAAAATACATAAATAAGACTAATAGCCCGTTTGGCCAAGCTGCAAAAATCAGCTTATTTTGAGAAGTGCTTTTTTTCAAAAGTGTTTTTCTCAAAAGTACTTTTGGTGAGAAGCAGTTTGTGTTTGGCTAATTAGTTTGAAAAGCACTTCTGAGCAGCAATTAGTGTTTGGCAAAGCTTTAAAAAACTGCTTCTAAGTGTATTTTTCTCAAAAGTGCTTCTCAAAAAAGTGCTTTTGGAGAGAAGCTACTTTTTTCTGCTTCTCCAAAACTGCTTCTGCTTCTCCTCAAAAGCACTTTTTTTCCTTCCAAAAGCTTGGCAAAAAAAAAAGCACTTTTAGCCAAAAAGAAGCTTGGCCAAACAGGCTATAACTCATGTACTAAAGCTATGTTAATAGAAAATAAAAAGATCAATCTTGTAATGATCAATTTAGCATTATAAGAAGTGTCTCTTCAGTTTATTGCAGGTCTCTTACACATCGTGGTTTCTCGATGCATTTAATTACGCAATTGCAACCAACATGGATGTTCTGAATTTGAGCATAGGTGGACCTGATTATTTGGATCTCCCTTTTGTGGAAAAGGTGAGGTCACTTATCTATTGGTATATCCTTATTGTTTTTATGTGGTATGATATTGGATTGCATTTTGTCTACAGCATAGGCATTGAAATGATCTTGCTGTTGTTCCATAACTCCATATAATTATTGTCTAAGTTTCTGTATAATATGTGGTCTCGGAAGTATTAGAAGTTTGATTATAATTGGCAGCATGTAATCTTAAATTTCTTATGTAGTGCATGGATTTTACTTAGCTTTCTTGAGCTTAATGGGGCATTTGTTTCATGAGATCTATTAATTTTGCAAGCTGAATCTATGTCATGGATGTCTTAAACACAAGGGTTGTATATTATATCTAGTACTCAATTTTGTAAAAGAGATTCGGAGTTGTTTAAGACTGTCATTTCACTGAAATTAAGATTACTTTCAGCAGAACCTCTGAAACAACACTAGCAGAACTTTTCACCTTTATATTGATGAGATGTACAACAACACGAATAATTACTCCTTAATTCCAAGCTAGTTGGGTTGGCTAATGAAACCATCCATTCTGTTCCATTTGGAGTCATCAAAGATTCAGTAGTTTGGATATCTATAAATCTAGAGGTTCTTTTTCTATTGACATACAAATTTCGGAAGTGTAGACAGACTAAAAAGATTCCTAGTAGACATTGGACCTAAAGTAAGTGCACTAGCATGACTACACCTTGATTCTTAATAGTCGATATCGCGTATAACGGACTTTTGCTTCTGTTGTGTTCTGTTTTGAGTCTGTATGAATTCAACGAGATTATAGGCCTTTTGGGACAACTTCCTTCCATGTGATTTTAGGTATACATCTCTTTTAGCACCTTCCATCATCATGGTTTCCATCTAAGGACCAGTGCCATTGGAGGTTTATTTATGACATGATGAAGACCATCTCAAACGACATTCTCATTTTATCCTCTATGTTCTGTCAATGTGATCATTTCTTATCTTGTGAACCCATCTTGCATATGCATTTTGGTGATGCTCATATCTTTAATACAAAGCCAAACATTTACCCCGATATAAACTTGTCTTTCACTTTGATAGGTATCCTCTTATCACATAACCCTCTGTAGCGCTCCTCCATTACAACCAATTCTATTCAAATTTGATGTGATATCTTCATGGATCATACTAATTTCATGGAAAATTGAGCCTAGATATCTGAATTGTGTGCATTTTAGGTATGGGAATCTAATCTAATCTTAACTCAACTTCACTCTTCTCATGCTTCCTAAACTTATTATGCATATATTCTGTCTTACTTCTACTTGTCTTAACACCTTTACTCTCTGGAGTCTCTCTTCATAGTTGCTTTATATTGATGGACGTAATCAATATTTTTCGCTAGGTTTGGGAGCTTACTGCAAACAATATTATCATGGTTTCTGCTATTGGAAATGATGGACCACTTTATGGTACTCTTAACAATCCTGCAGATCAAAGTGATGTTATTGGTGTTGGTGCCATTGATCAAAGTAATCATTTAGCCTCTTTTTCTTCACGTGGAATGAGTACCTGGGAGATTCCTCATGGGTATCCTGTCTTTCTCCTTTCTTTGCTATGTATTACTCTTTGCAGTGGAGTATAGTCTTTATACAGACTATTCCTTTATTTTTCTGCCCTCTCCTTCTCTGTATTGAAGTTGTGTTCTATTGTATGACCACATAGGAAGTCAATGAGTGTGTTGGATGTACCAGCTTCATTTAAAAAAGATGCCCTTAAAAATCAGCTCTTCTGAAACAAACGAGCATTCTATAAGCTTTATTTTATCCATGGTTGTGATGTTTAGAGAAAAATTCTGCTGAGCCTGAGTGGAAAATGATGGGTGAAAATGGCAAAAACTTTGTGGATGAATAGGAGCATGACATCTGTTGAATGCCTCTTGTACTATCCACTCAGCTTCTAAGGAAAAAAGAAAAGGAAGAAAGATGAACCGTAAACATGAAATAGAAAAAAGTCACAATTAAGTTCTTTGCTTCTTCTTCTTTTTTTGAAAAAGAATAAGTTCAAAATTATGGTTCTTTGCTTCATTTTTTTTTCTTTCTTTTAGTTTGAATATTTTAGGATCTTGCTTTTCTAATAACAGTTAAATAATTACACTTGTCTATCAAACCATAGATTCTTAACCATACTGTGCCTTGACAGTTATGGTCGTGTAAAGCCAGACATTGTTGCATATGGGCGTGAGATTATGGGATCCAAAATCAGCACAGGTTGTAAAAGATTATCTGGCACAAGTGTGGCGAGTCCTGTTGTTGCTGGCATAGTATGTCTCCTTTTTAGTATCATACCTGAAAGCAAGCGAAAGGACATTCTAAATCCAGCTAGTGTCAAACAAGCGCTGGTTGAGGGGGCGGCTAAGCTTTCTGGTCCCAACTTATATGAGCAGGGTGCTGGCAGGGTTAATTTGTGAGTTTTTGTATTTATTCCTGCTGTTCAAAGATATTTAGTGCATAGTTATATTTTTGTCAACCTTCAACGTGAATGACAGGTTGGAGTCCTATGAAATTTTGAAGAGCTATAAACCTCGAGCAAGCATCTTTCCTAGTGTTCTTGATTACACTGATTGCCCTTACTCTTGGCCATTTTGCCGTCAGCCACTTTATGCGGGTGCAATGCCAGTTATCTTTAATGCCACTATTTTAAATGAAATGGGTGTAATTGGTCACGTCGAGGGCCCACCTACATGGCATCCTTCCAATGATGAAGGTAACCTTCTTAGCATCCGTTTTACTTATTCAGATATCATTTGGCCTTGGAGTGGTTATCTAGCACTACACATGCAAATCAAAGAAGAAGGGGCTCAGTTTTTAGGAGAAATTGAAGGCAACGTAACTGTCAAAATCTACAGCCCACCAGCTGTAGGAGAAAGGAGTCGTCGAAGTAGCACCTGTGTCCTGCACTTGAAACTGCAAGTGATTCCTACTCCACAAAGATCTGCACGGATATTATGGGATCAATTTCACAATATCAAGTATCCACCTGGTTATATTCCGATAGACTCCTTGGATGTTAGGAATGACATGCTTGACTGGCATGGAGATCACCTGCATACAAATTTTCATTCACTGTTCGACATGCTAAGAGATGCTGGATACTATATCGAAACTCTTGGCTCCCCTCTTACATGTTTTGATGCGAAGCAGTATGGGACGCTTCTCCTGGTGGATCTCGAGGACGAGTACTTCCCTGAAGAGATCAAGAAGTTAAGAGATGATGTCATTACTTCAGGTCTTGGTCTAGCTGTATTTGCTGACTGGTATAATGTGAATGCAATGGTAAAGATGAGGTTCCTTGATGGTAATACCCATAGCTGGTGGACACCAGTAACTGGAGGTGCCAATGTTCCTGCGCTGAATGATCTTTTGGCTACCTTTGGGATTGCATTTGGTGATAAAATTTTGAATGGTGATTTTGTCCTCTCCAATAAACAAAATCATTATGCATCTGGGACTGATATTTTGAAGTTCCCAAGCGGTGGATACTTGCACCGCTTCCCCTTCCTGGATAGATCAGATAGCAGGGCCACTCAGAGCATGACTAAGGTGAGCTAAGAAGACTGTTCATAGTAAGTTTTTCCTAGCCTATCCCTTGCCTTTAGGTTCATAGAAGCCACACGATTCTTTAGTAAGAGTTAGATGACACTGTCATAACTTCTCTCTTTTAGCTTATCCCTGAACTGATAATTGAGTATCTCTTTGAAGCTGTAGTGTTTTAGGGTACTTTAATCCAATGCTGAAGCACTTTGAAGTGAGTTAGCTTTCCGTAAGCGTGTGTATGTAATTTTCTATTGTCTTTTATCTTTTTCCATTTTAAACCAGATTAAACACAATGTGTTAAAGTTAGTCCAACCCCCTTCCGCTACTGTCTGCCTCTCTAAGTTGTGTTCTAGAAATCGACTTTATTTCATAAAGCTTTGATAATTGTACTGCTATTTTGGTGGGTAACTGAAGGGAAGTATGCTTTTCGTTATGACATCGAATTGTACTTCAATCTTCAATATCTTAAACAAATAATTGTTTGTTGTTACTTGCTTTAAATTGCACAAAAGGACACTGGGAACAATATACATTATCCAATGAAGATTATGCCAATAATATTAGCATTCCTATCAATTTTCTAGGCAGTAGTTGAGCTGCCTATCTAACTCAATATATTTATGAATGCAGATAGTTTCACCTATTCTTGGTCTTTTGGAGGTTGGTGGGGGTCGAGTTGCAGTATATGGGGACTCAAACTGTTTGGACAGCAGCCATATGGTTACCGATTGTTATTGGCTTCTGAAGAAAATATTAGATTTTACTAGCAGAAATAAAAAAGATCCTGTACTTTTCTCAGATTCAGTTAGACAAAATACACCATTATATGTTGATAAGAACAAGCTACCATCCCGTAGAATAGATGTGAATTTTTCTATGTATTCTAGTGTTGTTGGAAAGAAATTGATCTGCGGGCGTGACTCAAGATTTGAAGTATGGGGAACTAAGGGTTACAATTTACAAACCAAGGGAAAGAACCGCAGATTGCCTGCCTATCCTGTCAATGACTTGGGTGGAGGTCTAAATTCTACTGTTGAAACACCGGTTTGGTTAATATCTAATTCAGCTCAGATGAACGACGACTCTCTTGGGAACAAGTACTGGGGTTCATTCTACAAGGATGATGTAAGAACTTTTAGTTGTCACTAGTCATTTGTTTATGAAACCTCTTTTAAACAGATATAATAGCTTGTTTCATTTTCCTGAAATGCAGATTGACATGCCTATTCTGGTTGCTAGTCACTGGTTTGTGCCGGCAACTGTTGCCATAATTGGTTAGTGCTACATTTCTAGTTTTCTATATTTGATGAATGCACACAGTTCTCTTATTCAGTCATTATTCTTATGAAACTTTTGCCAATACTATTAGGTCTGTTCCTCTTTTTTTGGCGCGTGCAAAAGCGCGGGAGGAGGAGAAGATCTAGCTCAGCTCGTTCTACTAATTTATAGCCCTAATTTGACAAGGATTGTATTTTTAATTTGCTCTGGCAGGTTTTATGATATGATTTTGTTATCCGCTACTGTGTTAAAACACAAAATCAGAAAAACTGTTAGAAGAATAAAAGAAACTGGAAAACAATAAAGAATAAGAAATATTCCGAGCCCACAATTTGCTTGTGTGTCCTTAAAGAATTTTAACCCCCTCACACGTTGTCAAGGTAATGGATTAAATCCTCCCAGGATGAAACGGAATAAACCTCCCTGCAACAGTGGCAGTACAAACTGCAGGATACCAACGAACTCAAAGAACGGAGCAAAATCACACTTACGAATTTGAGAGAGAGAGAGACTGCGAATTTGCCAACTCCTTCAATTTTCGCTGTAGACGAATTTCCCATGAAAATTGTTTCGTCGGGTCCTGCGGGGGCATAAGAAGAAAATAACTCCTTGTTAGCACAAACATGGCGGGTGGCTCCAGAATCTATCCACCATTCTTTAGGATTTCCTACCAAGTTGCATTTAGACAACATGGCACACAAGTCCTTCATTTCTTCAGCATTTTCAACCATGTTGGCTTGATTCTTCTTCATCTTATCATTCTTTGGTGCACGACAATCCACGGCCTTATGCCCAGATTTTCCACAGTTGTGGCAATTACCCTTGAACTTTTTCTTGCTTGGGTAATTCTTAACAGTAGCACCCGTTCCCGCAACATTTCCATTAGTTTGGTTTTCATTCGTCATTTTTTTGTAGAGTTGGAAACAAAACAGAACTTTGTTAAATCAGTGAAGTTTTGATATCTTCAAACTGAATACCAAACCAAACATACAATACGTAATAATGGTGAAGTTTTCTATATACTTCAAACCCGTACGTTTATTATTCCGGTAAAGTTTTGATATACTTTAAACCGGACAGAACAATTATTGGAGTAGAAAGCACGAAGGCTTTAGTCTCCAAACCAGTATACAAAATATAGATAACAGTTTATAATATATATTTCAACACAGAAACGTTAGTATTTAAAATTCCTTAAGCTTGTTATCCGCTACTGTGTTAAAACACAAAATCAGAAAAACTGTTAGAAGAATAAAAGAAACTGGAAAACAATAAAGAATAAGAAATATTCCGAGTCTACAATTTGCTTGTGTGTCCTTAAGGAATTTTAACCCCCTCACACGTTGCCAAGGTAATGGATTAAATCCTCCCAGAATGAAACGGAATAAACCTTCCTGCAACAGTGGCAATACAAACTGCAGGATACCAACAAACTCAAAGAACGGAGCAAAATCACACTTACGAATTTGAGAGAGAGAGACTACGAATTAGAAACGGAATAAACCTTCCTGCAACAGTGGCAATACAAATTGCAGGATGCCAACGAACTCAAAGAACGGAGCAAAATCACACTTACGAATTTGAGAGAGAGAGACTGCGAATTAGAATGCAGTATTTTTCAGAAAGAAGGAAGTTCTGTAGTGTTTTTGTGTGTTAAAAACGAAGTCATGCCTCAGATTTATAGGCAATTATTGGAAGAGGCGTGATGTTTGTTCTGGAAAAGGTGTCTGTTCAGCAGTTTATGCGTCCCGGACAACGGCTTGTCCAAAAATAATCTACCGAAGCCGAAGCCGAGCGACGACGACGACGCGAGGGTTCATTCTCTTCAACTCCTTTTAAGAGCTTTAAGAATTGATTCTATATATAAGCACACAAAAGTAGTTGTCCCTCACCAATGAGGGACAAAGTGCAAGTCAAAAGTTCACTTTATTTAAATTTTCATTTCCCTCCATTTTATTTCCCACCATTTCCAATTCACACTCTTAGACTTTTAAAGCCCTCAATGCTTAAAGTCCAACAGATTTAACTTAACATGTATTGACAATACAAGCTAACAAAATATAGCAGATTGTTATAGGTCAAAAAGCAGATTCAGGATTTAAACTTTATGGCTTGTAAGATTTTTAGCATTGAACCCGTAATATTTTTTTAAGTTATGGGTTCATGTCTCCGATTTATTACAATTTCAGTGAAGTTTTTATGATCCGCGCTGAAAGCTATGGGTTCAGTTGAACCCGTACCTACTATGGTTATATTCGCCCTTGATCATTGCATAGAACTTGAGCTTTTTGTGATGGCAGAATGGCCTAAATGGCACCTATACTTGTGCCACTTTGTCATGCCGGTCCTCCTACTTCACTTTTTTTCATCCAGACACTTTAACTTGTTCAAAATCTATACCTTAAACCCCTCTGACCATGTGTGTATCTCACTTGCTTGACGTGGATGACACATCATATTCCACGTCATTTTTTATATTGTATCTACTAAAAATACTTATTACTATATACTATTTTCATAAAGAAAAAGAAAAAGAAAATTAATGCATCCATTTCATGTCCCTTCTCTCAAATTAGGGCTGCCTTGTGCTTAGCAGTGCACATATTTTTTCTTCCTTATCCATATCCCTTTTTCCTAAAAGGTTTTTATCTGTTTATTAGCTGATGAAGCAATTTATATTGATTTTCGGCTACTGAGCCAATAATTTAATTGGAGAAGTTGCAACTTGCGAGAGATAAACTGAATGATTGCGTATGATATAGTTGATGATTGTTGGCCCAAAATATCTGCGCGGAAAAAACTGCAGCACATCCTATCTAAAGCACAAGAACTTCTGTTGAGTTGCAAAGGGGAGAGAGAGAATATGAGGAGTGAGGTCGTTTTAGACGGCTAGGTTTGCAATTCCGTCAATTATATCACTTTCTGCCGTGAAGAATCAATGTTTGTTTTCACG